ATAGAGCAAGAAAGAAAGATAGTGTTGCACTAAACTGTTCAAGAAGAACCTGGTACACAGACACACTCAGACTTCTAGCAGACGACTCCTGGACTCCTGGCTTCTTCCCAACAGGCTAGATCTGCTATCTCAGGGCCTTCTATTCCATCCTGCTTCTCATTCTCTGGCTTAGCTGTTAAAAACCAGGGATTAAAAGATAGGGGGGTTTCTGAGTCTGTGATTCCTACCACGCTAAAGGCAAGAAAATCCTCCTCCAGCAAGATACCATATATTATAGCACCTGGATATTGGCTGGTATGAAAACATGTACTTTAATCCCAAAGATTATTCTGTACCTTGCATTCTGGCTTTCCTAAAAACATGATTTCACCAGAAATTGGCCTTAAGTACTTTTAAAGAACACGCCTTTGACTTCACTTTCGCTGTTAAGAACCTTTCTACAAAGGTGTATTTCATATTAAGGCTCCCTTGGAGCACCCTGAGCTTCCTTGGGATCTCGGTTTGGTTCTCTCTGTCCTGCAGAAGCCACCCTTTGAACCTATATCTGCGGTATCGCCCTAGAGGATCTGTCATGCAAATTAACCTTTTTTGGTTCAAAGTCCACAATTGCAAAATGGATACGAAATCTGATTGCAATAACTTACATTCTGAAAGAGAAAACCCTTCCTGTGCTTTTGTGCACCCATTCCACCCCATCTGTGGGAGTTTCTAGGGCATTTTGACATAAAGTATCTCTATTCAAGTTGTGTAAGCTCTTGCAATCAAATCTTCCATTAATACTTTTTTAAAGTCTTTTCCAGTGAACCTGTCCAGTCTTCTGCTGATGCAATGTTTAGCTGCAAGGTTCTCGTAGAATCCCCTGACCCTTGTTTCGGCCTGTTGGCACAGTTCTGTTTGCCTGATTGTTGCCCACTGATCTTATTCATTGCAGAATTCATTTCACTGGGGACATCCCATGGACATCCCATCCCATACTCTTCCTGTGTCCTGTACTGTACAATTTAGATATGAGTTGTGGATGGCCTGTAAATTCCATGTATTAGAGCAGTCTTTTTCAACCAGGGTGCCTTGAGGTTTCTGCAGGGGTGCCTTGGCAAAATGTCTACAAATTGCCCAAAACTTGTATACAAACCAGCGGGTGGAACAAGCCTACTTTTTAGTTACACAAAGCCACAGATTTTCATTGTGCACCATTACGACCTTCTAGCCACCAGTATCCTGACAACTAATGACATCATAAGTTGATAAGGAGGATGTCAACTGGCTGCACAGCATCCTAGTATGACCCTCTCCTGCCCCTCTCCATCAGTGCTGGGGTCACATTACCTCAGTGATGGAGAAAAACTGAAATACTGCTCAGTACTAGTGTGCAAAAGTGTATTTGCTTTTTAAGAATAAATCACCTCTAGAGCTGGATTTCCTACATGTGTGGATGTTGCTGTGTTATATAAAACTATTCGAATAGTTTTTCACATTTTAGAATGGGGTGCCTCAAAAATGTCCAGAATTTTAAAGAGTGTCTCAGGACTGTCCGGAATTTTAAAGGGTGCCTTGACTGAAAAAAAGGTTGAGAAACACTGTATTAGAGTATCGTACAGGACACAGTGGATCCTTTCTTCCATTCCTTGGTTTACTGTCCATTGCTTGCTACAAAACTGAGGACTCACTGAGTGGGGTAGGGTTATAGGGAAGGTGCCTGGGCCTCTAATGCTTTGCCAGGGTCCAGTCATCTAATTGTACATGCCTATAACCATGGTGTATCAATACTCTGCCTGTGTCCTGTACTATACCCCAGGTTATGGCTTTTACAAGTAAGTCAAAATTCCCTTTTTTTTTTACATGTTAGTCAACATGCTTTTTTCAGAATAAAAATGGAAAGAAAGGCTCTGCTTTAAACTGGAGGTACATAAAATGATTTGAAACAAGCTCAATAATTGCAGGTTAAATGTCAAATTTTCCCCATAATGTAATCCAGGGCCCTGAACATAAGTTTGAGTATAATATATGTAGAATTATGTATTTAATATAGCCTATTTGAATATTTTCTAAGAAATAATTTCTTGGCTCTCAGGCTATTCCATGTCTTTTTTTTTTTTGGGGGGGGGGGGGGGGGGGCTATGAAATGCATGTGCTCAGTGAACTGTTGTTGAGCCCTGAATTTAAGTATTCCTACAGTATATAACTTGGCGGGGGGGGGGGGGCGGGGGACATGGCTTGGGGTTTGAGCCGCATGGCAGCACACTGAGTGAGCTCTAGGGAGAAGTCAGCTTTTGAGCTATTTAAGCTGTACACAGCAGGACGATCATGGGCAGGATTGTTACGCCCACTTCACACAATAGCCCGCACCGCTCGCACTCCAGGTCTTCAGCACAACAGATCCAGGATCTTTTCCAGAATAGAGGCACATAGAGGAGCGGCCCTGCTGGGAGCAAGATGGTGCCTATACAGCATGAGGAGGTTTATAGTGAGGAGTCTCTGCCAGCATCTGAGGATAGGTTAAGAGAGGACACTCGCCCCGCTCCACCACTCACATATTCTGAGATGACACAGATCACTACAGATCAGGGGCAGACTGACAACTCATGGGGCCCCCAGGCAATAGGGGATCATGGGGCCCCTTTGTATTGCCCAAACTCAACAAAGCCTATGAAAAAGGTACCAGGGGCATCTCATGGGGCCACCTACTGACCCCAGGCCTTCGGGCAGTGCCCGAGTTTCTAGATGGTCAGTCCACCCCTGCTGCAGATCTGAAGAGATCGTTCACAGCTGCCATAACCGATTTGAAGGAAGATCTCCTATCTCTCTCTGAGCAATTGATAACTGTGCAGAAGTCTGGTGCTTACAGGGGCAGGGTGATCTCTAGGCTGGAGAAACCTTCTGAAACACATGCCATACACCTGATTAATATGTATCGCCACATAGAAGATCTAGATAACAGAGGGAGACAACATAACATTAGAGTCAGAGGCATCCCTGAATCTGTGTCTGCTGACCAGCTCATGTCAGCTTTACAATCTATCTTCAATAATCTTTTAGAGTGGCCTGCAGATGCTGCCATTGATTTTGAGAGAGCACACAGAGCCCTTAGGCCAAAAGGGATGGATAGCTCCCCTCCCAGAGACATTATTTTCTGTATTGCTAATTTTACACTGAAAGAAGAAATCTTTAAAAAAAGCCCGGCAAAATGAGCTCATTCATTTTAACAGTAATGAACTTGCCCTCTTTCAGGATCTCTCCCCTATTTCGCTGAAAAATAAAAGAGCATTACGCCCCCTACTGGCCGTTATGCAGGAGAAGGGGATTCTTTACAGATGGCGGTTTCCTTTTGCCTTACAAGTGACTCTGAACGTCAAACACTATCTGCTCAGACTGCCTGCTGACCTTCGGGGTTTCTGTGGTGACCTCCAACTTCCACAAGTGGAACTTCCTGAATGGTATGAGGAATTTTGACTTCCATCATCAGTGCCTGTCACTGCACTCACGCCTCCACAAACCCCTTCCAAAGCATTGTTCAGGAAGACCAGGCACCAGAAGCAGGTCAGTCCGGGCTCCAGTTTGTCCTCTCCAAAGTCCAAACAGCGCAGAGCTAGAGAGGATTTTGTTGAAACCTGACTGTGCTTAGTCAATTTTGTCCTCTCTTTTCTTTTGTCCTTACTGTCCTCTTCCGGAAGGATGAGGCGTTGGGGGTTCACGTGTCCGGGGGGGAGTCTTTCATGCGGCTAACCACTGCGGTCTGTCCTCCCTGGATGCATGTTCGTCCTACCATCCTGTGTACTGACTGATATAGGTAGCCTAATTATTGGATGTGTGTTTAATCAGCCAGGTGCAGCTATTTTATATTGTTTATGGCCTGATGGTCGGGCTGCTATCTATAAATGGCCAGCAGGGCCCATATGGTCCAGTAGTTTTGTGCCCATTGGCTTTTTGTTTGAAATTGTTGCACTTATAAAAGGGTTATTTCTACTGTTTGCAACTGATTCTTGGATATATGCTGACCCCTATGATACAGTCCATGCAAATACCTGAAACCTGCATTTAATATTTGTTTTGTTGGCTCTGAGCTCAGACCTCCCTTCATGTTTTGACATCTTTGCCATCCTTAGGGTGGACGTTACAATAGGCACTATTTTTTCTTAGTGACTGATGGCTTTGCTAGTGCGATAGCCCTTCCTATTAGCCCCGCAATTTGGCAGAGTACCACTTTATGTTGCACATTACAACATTTAACATTCCTGCTTACTTCTGCTGATACTTATTTAACCTTGCCATACGGTACTTTATCCCTACAACATTTTTCACTGGCTTTTATTGGTATGCAGTATTCTATAGGTTAGCGATAAACAAGATATTTATTTCTTTTTGCACGTCTGTTTGGAGCAGGCCCACTCCTGCATTCTCTGTGGTTTCTTCTTGTCATCTCTCTTTTCCCCCCTTTTTTTTTTCTCTTCTTCTCAATGGCATGGCCTACTCAAATTTAGGAAACAAGCCCCTGCTTATCTCTCACAATGTCAGGGGCTAAAATGTTCCCGAGAAGCGATCTCAACTGTTACTAGAACTTGACAAAGTCAAGCTTTCCATAGTGTTCCTGCAGGAAACGTATTTTAAAACTGGACAGATACCGAAGTTGTCCGCCACCGTGTCAGAATACCGGACCGGCCGCTCAGCTCTTCTCTGCAGCAGGACCTTACCTGTTCCTTTGTCCAGCGCTGTACAGTCTTCCCGCGCCGGCATCTTTAGTATGGGCACCCGGCTGCGCTTTGTGAATGGTCCGGCATCTTCTAGGACACATGACAGGTCCCAGAAGACACAGGGCCATTCACAAAGGGCAGCGCTTCTAGCGCAATTGCAGTGGGCACCCGGCTGTCACAGCCGGGTGCCCACACTATAGGAAGGACAACTCCACGGAAGTAGGAGCGGGTACCTGTCAAATTCAGGTACCTGCTCCTCCTCCCTCCGCAAAGGTCCGCAGTCTCTTGGTCATCCACTGTACTGTCTGCAGTCTCTGGTCATCCCCTGTACTGTCTGCAGTCTCTTGGTCATCCACTGTACTGTCCGCAGTCTCTGGTCATCCCCTGTACTGTCTGCAGTCTCTTGGTCATCCACTGTACTGTCCGCAGTCTCTGGTCATCCCTGTACTGTCTGCAGTCTCTTGGTCATCCCCTGTACTGTCTGCAGTCTCTTGGTCATCCACTGTACTGTCCGCAGTCTCTGGTCATCCCTGTACTGTCTGCAGTCTCTTGGTCATCTCCTGTACTGTATCCGCAGTCTCTGGTCATCCCCTGTATTGTCTGCAGTCTCTTGGGTCATCCCCTGTACTGTCTGCAGTCTCTTGGGTCATCCCTGTACTGTCTGCAGTCTCTTGGTCATCCCCTGTACTGTCTGCAGTCTCTTGGTCATCCCCTGTACTGTCTGCAGTCTCTTGGTCATCCCCTGTACTGTCTGCAGTCTCTTGGTCATCCCCTGTACTGTCTGCAGTCTCTGGTCATCCCCCATACTGTCTGCAGTCTCTGCTCATCTCCTGTACTGTCTGCAGTCTCTTGGTCATCTCCTGTACTATGTACGCATTCTCTGGTCATCTCCTGTACTGTGTTAGCAGTCTGATCATCTCTTGTACTCTGTCCGCAGCCTCTGGTCATCCCCTGTACTGTGTCCGCAGTCTATGGTCATCTCCTGTAGTATGTCCTCAGTCTCTGGTCATCCCCTGTACTGTGTCCGCAGTCTATGGTCATCTCCTGTAGTATATCCTCAGTCTCTGGTCATCCCCTGTACTGTGTCTGCAGTCTCTGGTCATCTCCTGTACTATGTCGGCAGTCTCTGGTCATCTCCTGTACTATGTCGGCAGTCTCTGGTCATCTCCTGTACTGTCCGCAGTCTCTGGTCATCTCCTGTACTATGTCTGCAGTCTCTGGTCATCTCCTGTACTATGTCTGTAGTCCATTGGTTCAGAATATTTTTGTTCTTATTTTTCTCCTCCAAAACCTAGGTGTGTATTATGGTCAGGTGCGTCTTATGGAGCGAAAAATAGGGTACTATATGAAAGCATACCATTCTAATAATGCCTTGGCTAATACTAAGGGGATCACCATATTGCTCAGTAAGGAGGCACAGATTTCGATCACAGACCAATCAATTGACCCAGAGGGTAGATATGTCTTCTTAAAAGGCTCATGAGTGGGTATGGCGATCACCTTGGCCAGTGTCTACTTCCCCAATTCAGCCCACATCTCCTTTTGTCAGCAATTTGTTGATGAGCTTAAAGGGTTTGCATCTGGTTGCTTAATTCTAGGTGGAGACTTTAACATTCCATTTGACCCTGCTTTAGATACGTCTACCGGGACAACTTGCATTGCATATAAAAATCTTAAAAAGATCAAGCTACTCCTGAGATCTTTGCAGCTAATTGGCGTTTGGAGACCATTTAACCCCACTGGCCGTGATTACACGTGCTACTCTCCATCGCACAATCGTTATGCTAGGATGGATTATCTTTTGATCTCACAGAGAGACCTCCCTCTGCTGCTTGATGCTAAGATTGGGATCCAATCCTTGTTAGACCACATCCCAATAACACTTTGACTCTCCCCAGCCGGGTAGCCAAGGCGTTTAACTGGAGACTTAAGCCTGCCTTGTTGACTGATATGGAAATTCTGACCGATGACACCACTATTATTAAGCATCAGGGGCGGACTGACAACTCATGGGGCCCCCGGGCAATAGCGGGTCATGGGGCCCCTGTGTCCTTGCCCGCACTCAAAGCACACCCAAAAAAAAAGCCTAAAAAAGGAACCAGTGGCATTTCATGGGGCCCCCTACTGACCCCGGGCCCTCGGGCAGTGCCCTGTTAAGCATTATTTTGAGGCCAACAAGGTGATGTACACTTCGCCTATTAACATGTGGGAGGCACACAAATGCATTTTTCACTGAGTGCTTATTAAATGGGGTGCTAGGCGGAAATGTAAAAGACCAGAAGAATTGCGGAAATTTCCGCAAACATTGCAAAACTTGAATCCCAGCATAAACTATCCCTTGCTAATTCTATGGCAGTTGTACTTCAGAAGGCAAGTTGGAATTACAGGCTACTCTAGACACTAATTACAAGCATTCCTTATTCTTCAAAAAACAAGTTTATTATGAGGGAGCAAATAAAGGTGGGCAATTCTTGTCTAGGGCCTTGCGTGAGGCTAAGCTAAATGAAAATATCCATGGAGTCAGGAACTCGAAAGGTAACCTGGAACAAGATTTTAAAGTAATATGATAGAGACCCTGCTGAATGCACGAGCTACAAACCTATTTCCTTACTCAACACTGACATTAAACTGGTTGCAAAAATACTGGCTAACTAAGTTTTATCTCTTTGATATCATTGGCCTGGAAAAAGTCAGTTTTATGCCGGGTAGGGAAGCGCGCGACAATATTGTCAAGGCTCTTAACCTAATCTATAGGGTGCGTGTTGAGGGCCTTCTCTTCTCTACTGATGCGGAGAAGGCCTTCGATCGTGTGTCTTGGGACTTCATGTTTGCTACGTGTGCTCATATCAGACTGGCACCTAACATGCTGAATTGGATCGCTGCTCTGTATCAAAACCCCACAGCTAAGATCAAGGTCAATGGCACGCTCTCTGACACAATCACTATTAAGAATGGAATGAGACAGGGTTGCCCTCTGTCTCCCCTCCTGTTCATCCTCACCCCCTGAACCCTTCATTCGGCTGATTCAGCAAAATGAGGCGATTCATGGATTTCGCATTAACAATGAGACTTACAAAACTGCAGCATACACGGATGACTTGTTATTTTTCATATCCCAACCCCACATATCCGTGCCTAACCTTTTGAGCTTATTTGACCTCTACCATTTCCTCTCGAATTTGAAAATTATTTACACTAAGTCAGAGGCCTTGAATTTAACTGTACTCTCTTCCTCCTTAACCCTCATTAAGCGAAATTGCTCTTTCAAGTGGGTCCCTCTAGCCCTTAAATATTTTGGCATTTGTCTTACTTTAAATTTGGAGGATTAGTACAAGCAAAACTTTGTCCCCTTATTACGCAAGATTTGGAACGATCTTAAAATCCGACATGCGAAAACCTTCTCCTGGTTTGGCAGAGCAGTGATCATCAAAATGAATATTCTACCTCTGATACTGTACTGTATGAATGCTCTCCCATTAGGCTCCCCTCCATCTTTTTTAAGCAATTACAACAGGCTCAGAAAGCCTTTGTGTGGGCCAATAAAAAACCAGGATTCGATTTCAACTAATCACGCGCACTAAAAGTTCTAGTTGTATGGGGTTGCCAGAGTTTAAAAAAAGTAATTTTATGCTACTCACATTATCAGAATCATAGACTGGAACTGTCATTACATACATAAACACTGGGTTTCCCTCGAAAGCTCCTATTCTTCAGCTCCTTTAAGATTTTCACCATGGTTGTCAAAGCCTACCTACTCGAAGCATCTATGGCTCATCCCTTAATTGGTGCAACTTTAGATGTGTATCATGATCTTGTGAAGGTTGAGGGTTTTGCTAGTGCTCCAGGCCCCCTCACCCCCATTGTGATAATCCCGAGTTTCCCCGAGTTGTAATGTGGAGTGATTCCAGTGCATGATTTGGGTCTATCTCTTTTTCTTTTTGGCCTCATTGTCTCAAAAAAGGGGGAGTTAGGTCCAAAGGAGAGCTTCAGGAGATATGTGGTCAGGTTTCTCTCCCATACTGGACTTATTTTCAAATGCATAATTACTTGACTAACCACAGATGGAAGGCAGCCTTCTCCAGACCTATTACGACTCTAGAAATGCTATATCTGAAAGGGACTTGATGATTGTACCTGCAAATTGTAAACGTTTTACTATGTGAATGCTTTTGATTATACTACTGAGTTTGTTCCAAAACTAATTTGCAAACTGTGTATTACATGATATGATAATACGCTATGCTTTCTTGTAGCTCATTTCTTGTTTATATATTCTGCTGTTTCTTTCTGAATAAAAGCCAATTGTTTAAACAAATACAAAACCTCAGAACATTTTTAGAACACTGGTAAAAATGAAGCCTTAGGCACATAATTCTGCTAAACATGTTTCTGAAAGGCTTCTGTAATATTATTAATATTTAGAATTCTGCAATTTGATTGTGTGTGCCATCATCATCAGCCTTGTTTTTGTGAAGATCTAAAGGCATACCTGCCCTGAAATAAAGTATACCTCCAATATTATTTCTTTATAATGAAGACGCTTTGTTATTTAATGATAGACTATGGCTTTTTAGACATGTGCCATATCTCTGCAATTACCCATTTGTAACAAAAGATTGTCTCCAAAAACTGTTCACTTCATCACTTTAAACTGTCCACAATGATTAAAGGATAAGTTCACCTTTTGGACAAAAATAATAAATGCACATTTTTTTGCAGGTAAAAAAATGTGCATTTATTATTTTTGCTCAAAGGAGCCTGGAAAGCATTGCACCAGTGATCAGTATATTGCTGATGCCATGCAGGTCTCCTTCAGACTTGTCAGAATATCTGCTTGCCATACAGGGTTGTACAGCCAAGTAGATATTCTGACAGGAAGCTTCAATGAACTACCATGGCGTTCCACAGCACTGTGGTAGTTCATTGAAAACTACAAGCCCACAGCCGTTAAGGCTGTTGGCACTTGCAGTTCATTCATTCATGGAAGTCCGTGAATGAATGATGCTGCCGTGTGGGCGGAGCCCCGCACAGCTCCGCTGTTTTAAAATCTGACAGATAGTACGGGGAAACTTCTGCCCGTATAATCTGTCAGAGGAAGGGACCCTCCCCTCCGGCCGGCAGGCGCGGCTGCAGCATTGGGAACATGTTACATGTTCCACCCTAAAAATATGTGCAGCATGTAACATGCTTTTGAGGACATGCCCCCTGGACATCCCCCTATAACTCTACCCTGGCAGTCCCCAATTTTTTTGCAAGTGTTCTGAGGTAAGTTTCCCTTTTATAGCAAAATCACTCTAAGCGCAAACGACTTCATTTTTTTCTCTTCAGATTCTTCCAGCAACTCTTCCATCAACTATTCATTGTCTTCAATGTATTGGGATCGGTGCACGACAAATGAAAGGAGAAGGAAGTGCATTGTAATCAAGACTGTATTGCTAGTAACACAATATGGAATATACTCATGCAGGTAATAGAAGCCAGTGTCCAAAAAAAACGTTAAAAAACTTAAAGTGGTTGTACACCCTTACATATACCCAGTGAAGTGATATGATTAGCCTCAGGTGATACACAGAGATGAAAGAAATCCAACTACATAAGTTGTATCTGTCTATTTGCAGCCATCTCTTCTCTATATCTGTGAAGAATTTATACAGCTTGTCTGAAAGTTCAGAAAAAATGGGCCAGAGAGCTGAAATTACAGTTGGTAGAGCTTAGTGAGGAGAGCTCTGAGGGCTGATTGGAGGGAAGGGACACATCCCATCCACACAGCTCAGAGCTGAGTCTCTCAATCTGCTGGAGATCCCTCCCCATAACCATTTTTCTCTTGGTGTCAGGTAAACTTGTAAGAAGTGATTCATGCTGACAGCAGAGAAATGAGGCTGCAGACAGAAATTATACTTAGTGCTCCTA